TGTGAAAAGTGGTAAGTGAAGAAGCCAGCAAATATCTTGAGCTGTCTGCCATTCAAGCAGAAAGCAGGAGGTTCTGCACATGATCTGTCTTGTATTTTGTTTCATGCTTTCAAGATACAGAGTAAAACAATCTTGGGAGATAAGAAAAATGCAGCTTAGCATAAACGTTTATCTTTGTTATCTGTCACTGGCAATGTGGTTAATTTACATTTTAAATAAACTTACAGTCTATGCATTTTTTTAAAAGGGGGTAAGGAGGAAAGGAAGATGGTGGGATTGATGTTTTATTTTATTTAAGGATTTCTGAGAAGCAAAACTCACCAGAAGACAAGTAATTAAACCATAGCTTTGTGATGGGTGAAGTTGCTTCTGGTTTTCATCCTAGAATGTGTGCTCCATCTCTTAGAGCTCAGAGGATGGATTCTGAGGTTAGGTGGTTTTGTTATTATCTTGGTCTTAATAATTATATTGCTTAACGTGATGGTTTGGATGCACCCTCCAGCTCCAAAAGTCCCTACATTAGTTGCCAGAAGCTGTGAGGGTGCAACTAGGGGAGGGATGACTCTGTGCAAGCTCTGTTTCCTAAGCTCTTCCTCTTGCCATTCACAATGGGTCACTGCGGGAGCCTGGCCACTGTGCTCTGCAGCCCCTTGGTGTGATCCAGCTTCTATGTCGTGCTTTTATTAGCATGAGTCAAATGTGAAGGAAGGTAGCTTACTCCTGTTGCTTCCTGGCATCATTTTCTCTATTAACCTTGGCCACAGCAGTGTTTTCAGTCCTCAGTCTTCTATTCTGTGAAGCAACAATGCGCCATAGGGTCCCCCTCAGCTACTCTGCCTGTAAAATTTCAGTGCTTGCAACGTCTGGAGAAAGGCCATCCATGCTCAAACCTCCCGGCCTTCATGAGTCACGTCTATGAAGTTAGCACTGCTGCTCTGCTGTGTTTCTTCCTGATCCCAGGTGTCCAGACTGAATTTTTCTTCAGACTCGTGCTCTGGCCATCCTATGCAAACCATTCCTATTTTAAGTGGGAGCTGCATGTGCAACCCCTCCTCCCCATGTGCAACACACATGGGCAGCATGTGCCTGCCATCAGAGCCCTGCCTGCCTCCTCTGCTCGTCCTTCCCAGGAACGAGCAGTCCCCTTTCACAAGAGGGAGAGTGTGCCTGAGCAGCGCTCGCCACAAGGCTCTGATCCTGCTCATGGCTTCGGGCACCAGGAAAATGCACATCAGCCCACCACTGCTGCAAGCTGCCCCTTCCCACACCCAGCATGTGCCAGGGTTTAACTCTCCCTCTCTGTCTGGCAAGAATAGGTGGTTGCTGTCACTCAGGTCACAGGGGGAATGAGGACACACCTGAGTTGCCCAGAAATACCTCGAGACCTGAAAAGTAACAAAAGAGAACCAAAAAGCTGGCATGGACCTTTTTCTAGTGAGGGCTGGAAGGTGTTGCAGCTCCAGTAGCTTGCCTGCTGTGCCCTGCTATAGCAGGGCTTTGACTAATCCATTTTCTAAGCTGCCTTGCAGATCTGCCGTTAGCTTCCCACACTCAGCTGCACACACAGCTTGCTGCTGCTATTTGCAGGTCACCTGGCAGGACAGCAGGTGCAGGCTAGTTGTAGTCCTTTGCAAACCTGGAGAAAATGATGGTGATTGCTGCAGGATTTGTAGTTCTGTCACCCCGATTGCACTCTTTCCTCACTTCCTCCTGGTGGAAGCTGAGCAGACTTCATCTGTGCCCAGGCACTTGATGTCCTGGAGTCTCCCTTTTTCCTCACTGCTGGACCTTCTTGGGTTCTTAATAGCTTTCCTCACTTCTGCAAGTTCCTTTCTTCCGTGATATTTTTCAGTAGAAAACTGCGGAGCATCTCCTTGCCTCTGAATCCATGTGCATGCTGTCTTCTGTCCCCACCTCCACCCTTCTCCAGAACTCTCAACACTGATCCTATTGTGTCAAAGTCTCAACACAGTGCTCTGTGAAGCTCTAGTAGTTTAAAACGATTCATCAGAGCTGATATGTGAGCTGGTCTCCCTTTGGAGCCTTCTCCTCTTTCCCAGAAGCTCACTCTGGCTATTGCTGTTTCTATATATCCTGCTGCTTTATATTCTGCTTCTTTACTTCCACCCTGTCCCTGGGGACCTGGTGCATCTGCCTGTCCTGGGCAGGCTGGCTGGGAGTGATGCTCTGTGACTGTCTGCTGGAAAGACGCTTTCAGACCTGGAACTTAGCAGTATTGTTAGAGGTCCTGCATGTTGCTGTGATACAGGTGGGTGAATCCAGGACTAGGAAAACATCCTGAGCTAACGCCGCATCTTGTGATACAGAGATAGGAATTTGGGGACATCTCAGAGTGCCCTCGTAGAGAGAGAGTTTTGCAAGAGGTGGCTGGAGCTGTTGAGGCTTGAGATGAGCATCATGGAGAAGCAAGGTGACCGTAGCCCAACATGCTGTTCCCCTCTAAGGGTGTAGAGGCTCCTGAGCCCACTTGAGTCCTGACTGGCAGAGAATGAGCTCACACACGAGACCCTTATGCCCATGGATGTGAAGGTCTGAGTTTCAGTCTGCTGGTAAAAATCTCTCAGCCTGGTGAAGCAGCGTTGCCATTGCAAAGTATTCTTTGCTCTGTACTGCTACCACTTTTTGGCTTTACACCAGTTTCAGAAAAGCACCTTTTCAGCCATGCAGATCTGCTGCAAATCACTGCAAACATTACACTGAAGAGGGATTTTCTTTAGCAAGAGAGTGTTTGCAGAGCAGAGACCACTTGTCACTCAGAAAATGCCCATCAGCCAATCCTATCACCTCATGTCTCATCTGTAATTCTGGTAGTTCCACAAAATGCCCGGCTCAGAAATAAATGCTTTTGCATTGAAAAAAGCTTTGGGAGGGTGTCAGTTTCTGAGGAAATGCTTCTGGGCCTAGCCAAAACATATTGTGTTTTTCTACTATTTTCAGATTTTTATTAGTTTGAGGTAAATTAGGTTCTTTCTTAGAAAAATGTCCCATTTCCCAGTTCTGTTTATTGGTATCACATGGGCATGAGGGCACAGCTGAGCTGTGACTGTTTCAGATGTTTTTTCCTTGGAAAATGTTTAGACACCTCCTTAACTGACCCCCTCCCTCCCCCCCACTACCTTTGCTAAACACTGCAGGAAAAAACAAATTTCAAGAAAAAATTCTTTATGCTTTGACCTTTTCATGATGGTCTCACCTCTCTTCTCTGACAAGGTGCTGCACACACAGCATGGGCTCCCGGTGCTTTCTCCTTCGTGCATCCAAAGGGTGGTGAGGGACTTTGATCCAGAAGAGGCTGTCACTGTCAGCAGGCTTGAGGACTGCTGGTCACTGTGGACATTGGACTCTCTCAGTATCCTCATTTATAAAGAGGAAATAACTACATACCCTTGGCTCCTGTATTGGCTTGAGCCATGACCTTCATCTGTTTCATGTTCCTTCATCTCTTGTACAAGCATTACTTTGTGCCGCACAACTGCACATACTTGTGGGATGGAGGTTCTTCAGATGATCTCATCTTTTCTTAAACTCCACATTTCTCTCACTGTCATGTTCTGCGATCCTCTCTTTGCACTCTCATGACCATCAGGGCCGAGAAAACCTTCCACAGTTTCACTCATCACCTGCCAGGTGAATCCTGAGCTGTTTCTGCCTTTTTACCACGACAGAGATCCTAATGGCATGAGGCCCTGTACAGTGAGGGGACCAGCGTGCCCTGTGCCCTCTCCTGCAGGGGCACTCCTGTATCTGCCTCTGTTACCCTGTTGCCCGTCTGGGCATTCTCTAACCAGTACTAACACATTGACAACCACCCCAGCCTGCACCACCCAGCAGCACCTGCCCTTGTCCTCCTCCTTGCAGTAGCTAAGCCCACTCTTCTCTGCTCAAAATAGATATTTTGTTCACTACTTTCTTACCTTAATTTCCCCAGGAACAACGAAAGCACCACAAGTCTTTCCAGCCTCAGAAACTAAAATAGTTGTTATGGAAGAAGAGTGTAAGTACCTCTCCCCCTGCTCCCCTCATATAGCTTCTTTCCCCTTACTTGTTTTATTTTTATGAGATGTTTTGCCTTAAATGCTTTATTGCCTCCTAGAATCTTCTTTAATCGCTACTTCTCTTTGATTTCTTCTAAAGCCACTGATCTTTCCCTAGATCTTTCAGAAAATATGATTTCTATTACTCCCTCTTAGAGGGGGAGAGGTTGATAACTATTGCAAAGGTAACTTGAAGAACATGCTGCTTAAAATTGCATCTGGATTTTAAGCATTTCCAGCTCTTTCAAGACATAAGTTTATTGATACTTGTAAGATGTGCTTGTTACGGCCTTTAATTTAGTGGGGGGTTTTATTTTGGTGGTTTTGGGTTTGAGTTTCTTCAGTTTTTTTGAGGATAGGTGAGAAAAGCAAAAGCAGCTATGGGAAATACAAGATAAAAAGACAGGAGTCTTCTAACCATAAGTCCTTAAAAATGTCAGAAATTACATCTGTGCCCCGTCATCACATTTTTCCTTGAGTCCACAGAAAACAAGAATGGATTTCCTAAAATGTTTAATTTATTTCAGTGTGCTGGAAGTGCTTTTTAGCATTCCCTCCTATTCAGCTGTCATGAACGCAGTAGAAAATGGGCTCACAAAAATAAAAATCAAAGCGTGAGTAGAAGTGTAGGTCCAGAAGTCAAGTGCCAGGCTTTTGGTTCAGCTCTTTCTAGTGGAGGGCGCTATTCTGTGTCAGAGAGTCTCTTCCTGCTGGGGACCCCACAGTACCTGGACAGCATCAGCACCCTGGATATCCCACCAGGACACCGTACAACTAAGTGGGCACTCACAGAGCCAAGGACCAGGCGGTTATTTTGAGATCTGTGCTATATTTCCATTTCAGCTGCTTGTGGCCAGAACTGACAGTATAGCTGTCTGTGCCTCTCTGCTGACAATTCCACTTTCCAGAGTTT